TTGATTGATTGATTGATTGATTGATTGATTGATTGATTGATCTGTGTGCGTGTGTGCTCTCTCTCTCTCTCTCTCTCTCTCTCTCTCTCTCTCTCTCTCTCTCTCACTCACTCTCTCTCTCTCAACAAAACAAAACAAAAAATCAGTCAATCAAACAATCAATCAATAGACTGATTGATTGAGTGGTTGATTGCTTGATTATTTGATTGATTGATTGATCTGTGTGCGTGTGCTCTCTCTCTCTCTCTCTCTCTCTCTCACTCTCTCTCTCGGTCTCCAATAAAAACAAAAAAAATCTAACAATCAATTAACCAATCAATCAATCAATAAATCAATAAATCAATCTCTCACACACACACACAGACATTTTCGTTGACTGAATGATTCGTTAACTGATTATATATATATATATATATATATATTCTGATTGCCTACTCCTGACGTCATGCTCGTCTGACTCTCGGCGACGTGAAGACCCTGACGTTCACAATGTCAGCGACATGCGGAGACGCTGTCCCCGCTCGATCGTCGCCCATTGCGGCATCTTCACATGGGACACCCTATGCTCGTCAAAGCGCCGATCGATCTCAATGTGCAGCGCAGGGGTTGTTGGGCGTTTCACCGTACAGCGGTGGTCCGGAGGTCCGGATAGGGAAAAGGCACCGTGGTACCATTTCGCATGGGACTGGTGGCGTCGTTGGCTCGGGCGTGACACCCATTTTGCCTTTCGCTGGTGTGTTGGGGGCTTCTCCGCCGGGTGTGCCCGCGGTTCGTGACGCAGCCGCGTATGGAGGTGTGTTTGGTGGTCCGTTACTGCCATCCCCACTACTGCCTAGACGGATGGACTATGCGGCCACGATTCCTTCAACACCTGTATGGTCATATGCGGTTGCCCCGCCATGTCCCACTGGAGGCGCTTCTCTTTCAGGAGATTGCAGCAACGCTTGGCGTTGTCGAACCGTTTCACTTCCACGAGTCGTCGGCGCGGGGGCCGGTTCGTTTGCGGTGCCGCCTCAGTCTCCCTTTGTCGCTCCTGATTCCACACCTCCGGTTGACGATGTCGATAGCTCTGAGGCAGTCGGTGGCACACCGTATTCGGGCGGCAACAGCATCATGCGTGTGTGTGTGCGGGACGCGTGTCGGAGGCGGTTGTACGCTCTCCGCGATGCTATGACCGGTGTGGGTGACCATCGCGGACTAGTCAGCGAGGTTATTGATCGGCTGCTCCACTGGTCCTTGCCAACCATCCGTGCGGAGTTTGGTGTCAGGGTAGCAAGTGTGATTTCTTCGTCGTTGCCATCTCGGGTGTGCGGTCGAGATTTCCCGTTGCGTTATATGCCAGACGATTCCGGTGCTGACTACGGCCAAGGGGGTTCGCAGGGTTCAGCTAGCGGAGGGTTGGGGGAGTCGCAGGAGGGATCGCAGAACTCGTTCCCGTCGTCGCCTCGTGCATCACAACGCAGTGAAAGAGGGCGAGGTAAACCACGCATCGGGGGTCGGTACACACCGACACCCACCCGACCGCAGACGTGGTGGGACAGTTGGGAAGGTGTAGACCAGTGCGGTCTTGGGCCTGAAACTGACCGTGCCAGTATTGAGGAGGCGATGATATTGTGGAGTGGACCGACAGCGCCGGATGTTATGATTCTGAAGCCGGTCAAGCTCCTTCAATTGCTGGCCATGTTTCATCTATATTGTCCGTGGCACAAGGTCTCGTGCCGTGTGTCTGTCGAGTCCGTCTCCTATCCAGCGCAGCTCTGTAAGCTGACGTTCGTATGCGACAAGAAATGCAAATGGACGTGGCACACGACACTTGTGACCACGAACGTCTAGCACTTACGACTGCAGCAGCAGCTCTTTCATGCGACGGTCACCACCGGCCTGACGTTCACGCTCCTCGACAACTTTTGTGTTGACTTAGGGATGTGCTCGGTGCACAAACCCACGTTCTACAAGTTTATGCACACAGAACCGGGGGAGGCGGAGGGGTGGAATGCGAAGGTCGTACGACAGGGCATTAAATATTGTGAGTTTGCCATTGACACTGTGATGCGCCGTGGTGAGGCAATGACATTGATGGTCGATGGTCGATATGACTCTGCCAGAGGCGCGCAACATTGCACTGTCACCGCAATGGAGTACGAGACTCGGCTTGTTGTGGGTGTGCACACTCTCCATCCGAAGATCGAAGGCAAGGCGTCGAATGCGTTTGAGGTGCCAGCCGTCGTGCAACTTTTGCGAGGGCTGATAGAGAAAGTGTTGAAGATCCGGTGCGTTGTCTCGGATGATTGTGCCGCGCTGGGACCGCAGTTATGAGCTCTGAACATCGAGTGGCAGAAGGATTGTCACCATAAAATAAAAAACATTCGCAAACACTTCCACAGTATGCTGCAACTGAAGGAACCGAAGAAAGTGAGTAACCCGCACGAGTGTGTGTCAGAGGTGTAGTTTATGCAGTTCACGGAGAAGCGGCTGATGGAGGCGTTGGAGCAACGTTTTGGACCTGGCGTTCTCACATCTGCTGAGGAGCGGATGAAGAAATCGGATTTCGTCGCTGTCGTCATGCGAAAGATGTACCCCTACGGATCGAGGTCGAACGCTCGAGCGTTGGAGACTGATCCTGACGGCTTGACAGAGTATCATGTGCATGAGGTTGGGATGTGGTTCCTCAGCGCTTGTCAGCTGTGCAGGGAGGAGGGTGGAGACGCCAGCAGTCTATACCGTGACATCATGTTGGTCGTCGATCATTGGGCTGACGATCATTCGGGGTGTATCGGCGGTAAGGAGGTTCTGTGCGAGAAGGCCGGTGGACCTGCACGATTGCCTTTGTACAGCTGCACGGACACGGTCTACGAGCTCGTTCTGCATATTCTCGGGAAACAATGCAGCGCTAACATCACACCGTACTACGTCGAGTTTCAGCACACATCGGCGGTGGAGACTTTTCAGGGCACCATCATCATCTATGCCAAGAAGTCGGTGCATTTCGAGAAGTCTTATTGTGCGTGTCTGCCGATCACAGTGATTCGGTGGAACAGTCACTGCTGGCGCGACCCAGTCGGGTACGTTGCTCGCATAGCTGCGGGCACTTCCATACGTCCGAGACCAAGCTTCCATCGACACTACGGTCAGGAGGCGATTGACTCTTGGGAGGACAGGTTGTCGGCGTCCATGTTCGGTTCGGCTCGTGTTTCGGACTGGGCTCGAGAGCTTCTGCGACAGGAGGTTTGTCCTTATGGAGCCGGGCCATTCCCGCGAGATCTGTTCGTCAATGGTGGGGACGACCCAGTGGAAGTCGTTGATGATGCTGCCTCCGGTTCCGACCATGAGGCAGTGGGGGAGAACCGTGTTTTCATCATCGGTCACATGGAAGACGATGTGGTGCCTGCATGCGATGATTGAGCCCTGACATCGAGCTTGGAATCTGAGGGTGACGATATAGAGTTGTTCAACGTTTCACTGGTTGAATGGCTTTATCGTTGACCTGACATTGATCTGCTGATCCGAAAATCATTGCGCACGGCGTTGTTCTTACACATCTCATGGTGTCTTGTTTGTTACGCTATATTATTTTCTACTTTTTTTTATATTACATATATATATATATAAGAGGACATGATTTTGTGTGATTCTAGTTTGTATTTCTCTTTGCGTGTCTTTCCTTTCATTGCTGTTTTTTTCGCCCATCTTATTTATTGTAATTCACATGCTTACGCTCTTAGGCAATAGTTGTTTGACATTATACAGTCAAACCAATTCTAAGTTACACGTTGATCCAATAATAAAATGACATCTAGTTGCAAGAATAAATGAATCAACTCAAGTGGCGAGAGCGAGGATTATAATCGCTCAGAGTCCATAGCTAATAGTACAATGACATATAATTGCAAAAACAAAAAAAAATTAACTTAAAATGAGAGATCGAGGATTATAAGAAGAAGAAGATGATGTACACCAGGGAAACCAAATTTGACATAATGCAATCCCTGTAAGTCACGACGACAGGTAAATACCGATTCAGATGGCCTGTCGAACAAGCACGGGCCGTTACGGGGCACACAAAAAACAACCCTCACGCTTACGGTTACGATTACATACACACTCAAGGCAAACACACAGTCGGACTGACATACGTAGTCACACTCAAGGCAAGCATACTTGCAATCATACTTTTTTTTTTTTTTTTTTTCCTTTCTCTCTCTCTCTCTCTCTCTCTATCTATCTATCTATCTATCTATCAATCTATCAATCTAATCTTATCTATCTAATCTTATCTATCTAATCTCATCTATCTAATCTTATCTATCTATCTAATCTTATCAATCTTATCTATCTATCTATCTATCTATCTATCTATCTATCTATCTATCTATCTATCTATCTAATCTTATCTAATCTTACCTAATCTTATCTAATCTAATCTTATCTTATCTTATCTTATCTTATCTTATCTCATCTCATCTCATCTCATCTTATCTTATCTTATCTTATCTTATCTTATCTTATCTTATCTTATATTATATTATCTAATCTAATCAAATCATCTTATCTGATCTTATCTGATCTGATCTGATCTGATCTTATCTTATCTGATCTTATCTTATCTTATCTATCTTATCTATCTATCTACCTACCTATCTATCTATCTATCTATCTACCTACCTACCTATCTACCTATCCATCTAACTATCTATCTACCTACCTATCTATCTATCTATCTAGTCGTGAAGCATTTACCACCGTGAACGTCGACGTGGGCGCCCGTTTTTTATCTATCTATCTATCTATCTATCTATCTATCTATCTATCTATCTATCTATCTATCTATCTATCTATCTAGTCATGAAGCATTTACCACCGTGCACGTCGACATGGGCGCCCGTTTTCTGGAGGATCACATTGTCGTAGTTCAAAACCTCGAATGATTGTATCTGGTCATCGTTCCCACATTGCCGTTTGGAACTCATCTGACAATCTCTGTCGGACAACGACGAACCCGCACAACCGAGAAAGAGCGACATACCCATTGTAACGATTCTGCTTTGGTTCGAGATTTGCACGACCAATAAGCAGATTCGTGCACTGTTGTAGGTGCTCCTCCATCCCAGCAAAAGTCACAGCCTCTTCCAAAAGGGTTGCGGGTCCCAGCCACCGACTCCTAATCTCGGCGACTGTTAGCTCCTCGTCGTGGAAAGAATCATTATCTGTCTCATTTCCAAATACGATTGCGTCGGCCCGCATGCCAGCCCTGCGTCGTCGGTGGTCCATGTCTGCGAAAGGATGAATATTGTTCTGCCGCTTATGTGTTAATTTTTAGAAATCTACAAAACAGAACATTACGGGCACCGATTACCTTAGTACTGTGCCTCCACATAATGAAAACGAAAACATATTTTAAAACGCAAAGCAGGTGAAAGAAAAAAAATCGAAAACATATAACAAACACATTGGAGATGACGATTGCATATGTATAAAAAAAATGTACCATCATTGAAACCATCAGTTTCTCTCTTTCCAACAAGGAAGAAACATAGCGAAAAAAACGAATGATACTCATCGCCGGATACCACTGCAAGGATAGAACATGGCAAAGAAATCCTTGGCATTGGACACAAAATAAGGCGGTGACACGACCAGGCGCCAGACGCCGTCCCGAGCGACCGTCCAGTAGTGTGTGTATAGTATGCGATGCACTAGGGGGTAGACGATATCATACATCAAATCACCATCGACCGGTTTGAGAACGAAGGTACTGAAGTACGTAGTCGGCTTAGACATTAGCACACGAACGTGTTCGATGGCGTGGTCACGAATATAAGTCTTTGTAGTGAGTCTGATAACTCGTTCCTCCTCGATGCTGACAACGAAATGACGATCCACCATCTTGTCTCTATTGCGGTACCCCACTGCATCGCCGATAGGATCTGTTACAGGATTTATTGATTCATAATAGTATACGGTGTCGCTGCCTGTCAGTTTTGTGGTGTGGTAACATCGGAAAATCATTGGCGCGCAAGGCATCGTCACTTCTTTCGTATGGTGTATGAAAACTGGTGCAATTCACAGAAAGCGACACCGTAAGTTATGAACCCAACGAGTGAAAAAAAAATAACACAAACATGATGTTCTACATGTACCTTACGGGGAGGGGGAACGCCCTTTATACATATGTATGGGAGGAGCGGGTAGTCGCGGTCCCGAACACTGTCGAATGTTGAAAACCTTTAGGATTTTGTTTCTCAACCCACTTGTTTCGGACTACGCATGAGACGAGCGGGACGATGGTTCGTTGACACTTTCGCACTGTTGTCCGCAACCGTCCTTTGCCAACACACTGCGCACATCTCCGTGGAGAAAACTACGGCGTTGCAGTGGGCGGTCAAGTTTTGAGAAATACCATGCGTTGCTTGCTAACGTTTCCACATGCTCGACCGCAACGACTTACACGATGTGCCTTAGCAAATGACCAAACATATCGAAGTCGGGTTCGCAGGCGTCGGGAACGACATTCGAAAGTTTTTTTGCATGCATTACAACCCCATCAAGGCAATCATGGTCGTTGTACCCCAGCCCCGCCACGACCCTCAAAGCGAGAGTGTCATCGATGAACACGTAGTACACACGTGTTTTCGTGGCAACAACCCCTTCCCAGTATTCAAAGTCTCTTTCGTTTTCAGTATCGCGCTCACACACTGTCTCTCTCATGACGATTTCCTTTCCATCCACAACCTCTTTCACAACAACGACTACGCCGGCCATGTTGTGTCGCAGGGTCGAATAAGTGAACCTGACAATTATGAACAGTCCCAATGTCTGGCCGACGATACTGCAAAAGATGACGGCAACACAATGCGTACGATAAGCGACGGACACAATGAGTCGAGTCTCACGGCTGCAAATAATAATAATAATAACGAACAGTGGTACGTTGGTTGGTTAGTTGGGTGGTTAGGTGGTTGGGCGGTTGGGTTAGGTGGTTGGTTGGGTAATTGGTTGGGTGGTTGAGCGGATGGATGGGTGGTTGTGTGGCTGGTTGCTTGGTTGGTTGGGTGGTAAGGTGGGCGGTTTGGTGGGTGGTTGGGTGGTTAGGTGGGTGGGTGGGTGGTTGTGTGGTTAGGTGGGTGGTTTAGTGGTTGTGTGGTTAGGTGGGTCGGTTGGTTGGTTCGGCGGTTGGATGGGCGCGCTCCAAAACATGGGGTGGTTGAGTGGTTGGTTGGGGCTGGCGGTTGGTTCGGTGGCTAGCGTGGATGGTTGGGTGGCTGTGGTGGTTGGTTGGGTGGTTGGGAGAGTCGTACATTTAGGTATCATGGTTGGGTGAGTTGGTTTGTGGATTGGTTGGTTGCGTGGTGGGTGGATGGGTGGTTGGGTGGTGGGATGGCGGGTGGGTGGGTGGGTGGTTAGGTGGGTTGGTTGGTTTGGTGGTTAGGTGGTTGGGAGGGTGGTTGATTGGATTGATTGATTGATTGATTTATTAATTAATTGATTGATTGATTGATTTTGTTTTTTTTGTTGTTTATTGAACAGAGAGAGACAGAGAGAGAGAGAGAGAGGTACTTGCGTGTGTGAACCCCGCATATATTGCACATTCTCCCAATCCCAAACGCCACATCAAATGTTTCTAAATGACAATTTTTTTTTTGAGGTGACTGATCATTTTGATGTGCTAGGCGATGGAACATTCCTCTGACATAAGGTTTCCCAAGACGGGGAAGCCATTGCTGTGCTCCCAGTTGGGTAGCGACCACATGCTAGGCAACGACCCTCATTGTTGCACCTCACAGTCCCTGTGTCAGACATCATCTTGTTCATATGAGAACCATCTGCACACGGCCGATTTGCATGAGCAGCTTGTGTTCTGTAATGTAGAAGTTCATTTTCCCTAGCATTCACACGCCGTTCGTGCAAGTCGATTTCTTGTCGCATAGCGTGCAAATCAGCAGCCGTGCTCTGAAGGACTTTCTCGGCTGCATGCAAGCGTTTCGTAGCTACTTCAACATTGTTGACCACATCTTGAATTGCGAGTCTTACGTCGCTCAGTAGTTTGTCTTTTGACATTTGCGTACACGATGAACTCGAATATTCACGACACCGCAACGAGACCTTGTAGTGGCTGCACGAATGAAGTACAGCACGTGACACAATGTTATGCGTTATATATCTCTCTCTCTCTCTCTCTATATATATATATATATATATATATATATATATATATATATATATATATATATATATATATATATATATATAGCATCCTACATTTCTGAATCAGAGAAGCCTATGTTCCAAAAACTAGGCGGTGTCGACGGTCTTCGTTGGTTCTCCTTGTGTCGTGAACATTCTTGCACAATTTTATGTCGATCTTTTTCATACACACTCACCGCATCACGAAAACGTTTGCACTCGAAGCACTCATGTCCCTTCAGTAACACTCTGTCTTTTTTCTTTCTGCAATTCCAAATGCATTTGGGTTGTGGAGCCTT